TTTGTGCACACACGCTTCCACACATATTTCTCTTACATCTGATTGGCTATGTCCGCCGAAAGCAAGCATGCATATTGTTTTCATTGTGCTGTATACTACTTCACCAAATCATGGCTGTTATGTAGGCGGAGAATTCAAACAATATTCATTTATTGACTTTATTACCGTACATGGGTTACGGTTATTGTGATGTTATAGCCCAAATTGTTTTTGTTCCCCAATGTGTTGGCAGTATGTGCATGAAATATTGGCAGTTCTCTCTCTCTCTCCCTCTCTCTCAAACATACACAATTTGAATGCCTTCTGAATTGTTTTGTTCAAGTCGATAACTAATCACATTTTATTTCCTTCCCTTCTCATTTAGTACTTGGCGTGTACGTTTGACCTACCAAATTTCTTTCTTGCACAATAATCAACAAAATTCTTTCTTATTATTCATACAAATTTGGTGTAAACATAAAAGTAGGAAGTTAAAAAAAAATTGGCATGAAAATCATCTTCGGTTGGTATACAAGCACGGGAACTGTACCACCTCAACTCTGGTTCATGACACTTGTATGTCAGAGATCACACCTTGTGATCTCGGTTGAGTGGTTTCCAGCAGAACCACAACTGGGCAGTTAAAAAACTGCTCAGCTGTGACAAATGTCGACATGGACTGTGCAATTTGTAAATCATTTGCAAATTTCGGTAACCAATGGCTTACAAATAATTTAGCCCACGCTGTCATCAATGTCTAGATGGTAGAGTAAAGACGCCATCAAAGTGCTGATACACTAACTTCAACGTTTACTACCTCCGGAAGTGCCGAAATAACATCCTTATTACAACAGTCATTTGCAGAACAATGTCACCCAAGGAAGTTTGAACGCATACTAAGCACCGTTAATGTGGGAAGCAATTTGGTTGATCAATTATCAGTCTATTGAGTCTTGTAATTCGATCATTTTAGCCTTAAGGCTATTGTAATTCAGTTTTCCCTTCAACCACGGGCCTCATTTCTGGAAAAAGCAAAGCTGTATACCTTTAAAAGTGAGGTGAACAGTTATGTTTGTATACAAAGACAATTCTATCTGGAGGGACGTAATTTATTCAACTTCCCCTCCGGTCTTTCCATCAATCACCTCCATAGCTTTGTCCTCTTGAAATGGAAACAAATGATGTTGAAAGTTTATGTTTCGATAGCGTATTGTTATTCTTATCGTATTCTGTCTCCACCTTTAAGTCGTCTCAGCGATTTGAGATAGGAAAACGATACAGTATCGCTTCTAACTTTGGTAGATTAAGCGTAAAATGCAGCCATTATTTTCTAATCCTAACTCTGGTTGTAAATTTAAACTCCTTACACTTTGTCAGACAAAGACAGAATTGACGTAGAACCTCGCACACAAGTGCATCGGTCCAAGTTGACACACTTCACAGTAGTATAAAAAGAATAGGCGGTTAGAAAGTGAGTGATATCAGGGTAGACAAAGTTGTGTAAGAGAATAAACAATTTGAAGATTAAGGTTAGTGCGAATATTCAAACTTTAAAAGATGTCAAGGGGTGAATACATCTTTGTCACTGTGGTCGATTTTCAGCCACGTCACTAAGACTTCTCAACCACTGATTCCTTTCGTCTCGGGGACCTGCATTCCCCCACACGACTCAGACCAACAATCAGGGACTTCATCGACTGGTGCCAGGTCTTTCCACCCTGAAACCTCGTCCCATCCTAATCCAGCTTACCTAGCATGGGACGTCGATGTAAGCAGTGGCTTGACGTGCGCAGTTCATGTCCAATCCATCTCGGTTGACTAAGGTTCCCAACCTCATCAATCGACTTGTCTGTCTTGCCTAGTAAGCTTCACCTGATCTCAACATTGCTCACGCGGTGATTCCACCAAACTTGAGCAGTGCTACGAAGACATCTGTGATCATGTCTTCTACCTTTAACGGCCATGTCTCACAGACGTATAACAGGACAGAATGGACTTCAGTGCAGTATGCTCGTCCTTTAACGGGTAGTTGGATATCTCGCCTGTTGGCACCATAGATAACGCAAGTTGTTAAGTGTACTTTGTAAGAAATTGTGACACGGATATTAAACTATTTTACCGTGTAAAATACGTTGTTCCTTGCTTCTTTTAAATGTAACAGCTTTATTGTTGTTACTTAAAGTTAGTGCGTAAAATTTTGTCTAAAAATAAGTCTAATTCTGTAATTTACGGGTAATTTATTGCATTATACTTTATTGTAAAGAACAAATCAATAGTTCTAGTCAACTGTCAATCCAGTGGCTCGACTCCCTCTCTATGTATACGGTAGGTGTAGTTCTCAGTTTAATAACAAATGTCTATGTGATCACGAAGTTTTGACTGTACTTTATGCTGTCGAAGCAGATGATTTCCCATGCAGAGACTACTACATAAACAGTGTCAAAGTGGCATGGTTTGATATAATTGAAGTAAATCGATATACCAGGTAGAGAGAAGGATATATGCACTTTACAACCTCGTGCACATTCGTACAGTAGGCAATAAACCATACCTATTGTGCGAAGCCTGGTCGTCCTAATTTCTCAATAGACGGAGCTGTGTTTGAACCTGTGACACATTGAAAGTCAACTGCCTAAACCAATGGGTCATAGCTCCACCGATATAACCGGTTGTAAACGTTTAACGATTAATGTTATAACGATGCACCCACTCCTTTCCAACCAGCTAGCATACCAAAGTTCAATATTAGAGTGAAAATGAAATAGAAGGAATTTGCAAGATGTTCAACCAAGAGATAATGTCGCTATCGATAGATAGAGTGGGATTGAATGAAAACTCCCGGAATAGCTGGGGTCATCGTTTAAAGAACATCTATGAATGGTTCTTCGTCACCGTGCTTCTGTTATTCGATGTTTCTTGTTATTAGAGGTGAACAAGCCTAGGTTAATGGGATACAAAATTCATTTTTAGCTACACTTGAGTTGTGTATCTTTCCAAGTGAAATTTTTATCTACAAAAGCTGTTCTTTAAGGAACTATGCATGCGTATATACGCATATGTGTCAGCTTGGTGCACCTTTAGATTGAAGGTATAGAGGCATAGAAAGGTCACGTGATCAGATATTGATCTAAATTTTGGACTGACAAGTGTACTGGCTTATGGCAGCAGGGCACACAAACACTAGTGTTTTTTCAAAACAGATTTAACTGTATGTAGGTTGATAAAAGTACATCTTTTATATATAGAAAAAGAAAGGAATATTCCATCTTTTGGTTCAAAATAACTTATATACGTATTTTTTTCGCCTAAATATCAATAAAGTATTTAGGTGTTATGAATGTACCAACTATAGGTTATCAAATAAATGGTTGTTTATTCAATTCCACTACAAATTAACCCTAGTATGCTAAACAGCTAAAAGAAAGAGTATTCACCAGTAATTAGTTGAAATGATTGTCTAATCTAATATCGAAATTCAGTGGAATGTACCCTGAAAAAACTGAATGAATTTTTTCATTGTGTAATATATTTAAAATGTTTACATGTGAACTATTGTGTGGAAAACTTTCTGAATTTGTTAAAAAGACTACTTTTTCAGTGGTTGATTCGTGATGGTAGTAGACAGACCGCAAGGGAATTTGCTGTACATTTAAAATTGACTGAAACTGAAAGTACCAGCTGTTCAAACTATATACAACGGTTCAAGTGAGACAAGCTTCTTGCAGTGACTGGATTTTACGAATTTAGCTATAAATTCCGAAATCAAAAGTAGCATCTGTCTGGAAATTCATCTTCAAATCCATGTATTAAAGTAGCGCCTGTCTGCTATGGAAATCCGAATCATTCGTAGCGGTTGGAGGACGTTTTTTTAGTTAAACTTGAATCTAATGGATCTAAATGAGAATGATTTTTTTTCTACAAGGAATTCTAATATTTTGTTATTCAGTGGGTAAAGACAGCTTCAGCTGTACGAGTTCTTTTACACTTCTAGTGAATAGGATTTTGTAGAAAGTCAGGGATATGCTGTATTGATAAATCTTAGCAATGATAAGGCCTAAATTCATAATTCATTAATAGTTATAACACAATTCACATTTCCGAGTATTAGCTGTGTATTGTCGAAGAGCACCTCCCAGTAGACAAGTGTTATTATTATAGAGCTGTATGTAGGCAAATGGGTCAGGTATTATGTCTGGTATCAGAAGGCAATTTGTTATAGTTTCACGTCACCTAGTTTTGTAGTGACCACACTACTAGCGCCCCATCAATAAACTATGATTAGCTGTAGGATCCAACTGCTAAATTGGCTATCACATCCGCTGATCAATTCTGGTACAGTCTTACAGGGAGTTATTCGTGACCTGAACAGCTTAGTGGTAAAGTCTCTGACTTCAATATTCAGTGGAGTCGGTTTGAATCTTCGACAAACATGACTTACTCGGAGGTTCCAGACACAAATTTATGCCAACCGACTCCTGTAAACTGACATCCGCTGTATGGGAATTCTGCTTGGATGTCAGTTATATCTAAATTGGATACTGACACTGAAATTATTGGGGTGTTTAAGTGCAGCTGACAATCCTGGTATGCTACTGACGCCATCTCCGTGGCTGTATATACTCTTCAAATTGCGGCCACATACTTCTGAAGTTTGCGCTAAAGATGCTGTCTAGAGTGACAATGAAAGCTCTACGATGAAATCATCCAGTACAGAAAACACACCATCAAAATGTTGAATAGTCGATATCAACAGTTCACCGATCCTGTCAAGTGGGCTGCTACTTTGAATTCAACCATGACTCAGCCTTTCATAGCAAGTAGTAATGCCAGTCAGCGGCTATACGTAAATTTGTGCGTTGTTTTACGAACCAAGGAGTGAGAATGCCTAATGGTTGTCTAAATGAAAGAGTTTTTAACCTGTGATTCTTTTAGTGTTAAAATCGATGAGTCACAGTTTTACATCTTTCATCTAAATCAAAAGTTTACCAGCGACTGTTATACACAATTTTGTTTCTTTCAAGGGTGATGATGGTGTTGTTGGATGTTACTATCAGTCGTCTTCTAATTCTGTGAACATACGAGCTGGATACACTGATGTAACTGGAAGGACAATTTTCTATGCTGGACCAGATGAGGTAACTGACATTGTTTCATGATGAATTGTAAACAAAAGCCACGTTGAGTATGGTTCTGTACGTTTTTGTATTTGGCTGTTAGCCAAATCTATTATGTAAAGATTAACAGTAGTACCTGTCTACCTGGACATTGGTAAATAATGGGGGAGGGGGTTGGAACCCGTACCTTACTGATGGAAAGTTGGCTGCCTGAGCCCAGTCAATCACAGCTCCACAAGCAAAACTGAATGGTATGATTTGTTGTTGATCATTTAAGCAATTGAGTCTAACATAATAGTAAATGTACACAGAAATTGTGTTACATCTTGTGGCAGTTTTCACGTTACTATAGTGCAAATCGAATTTGATTTACAGCTCGCACTTTCGGACCAGTTCAGCTAATAAATACACAGAACTATTGAACTATGATTCTTATTCAGAAGTGACTGAGTGAAATTGTCCACAAAGAATAATCATCATATTCCCTCACTTTCACTTACATTTTGATGGAGTATTTAGTATGTACACATTGTTTCAGTATAATGCCAAAAATATTTGAAAATCACTTTCACATAAGAATGAGACAATATAGAAACAATAGTTTTTATTTCCATTACACTTCTTTGAAACGGACAATGATGATTGATGAGGAAATAAAGTTCGAAGCTTTGAATAAAGCCCGTCACACTTTCAGCGGGTGAAACTGATTGTAGCAGATGGCATTTTTCGGCTGCACTGAAATTATCATACTACTGAGATTCAACCTAGTTTCAGTAGGTTATGAAGGATATATTCGTTGTGAATCTTGACCACCCCTTGATTCAACCAATGATATTTATAAATTTCAGTCTATTTTTCCGTTCAGAGAGAGTTACAGAACAGTAGTTGAAATGATTTTTAAAGCCTTTTGGCTGTTCATTGTTAAACTGACGATAGATGAATTTCTTTAGTGTGTGAATAAATAATTTGATGTTGGATGAGATGTGATCGATAGGACTGCCTGCTTCACGGTTGTTCGAACTCATCAATAAACAGTAACTCCAAGCCACAAAGTAGAATACAGGGACTCGAACCTATCTACGTCCCTTAATGTTGTAGTGGGTGATACTACTTGAATGGAGTACACTGTGATGTTGACATGCACAGCTTCGTCGTGACGTTACAGATACTCGAAGCTAGGCAATGTAGCATTGACTGATACCCGAGGATTGAACAAGGCAGTTATTTTTACTTCAGTTTATGCAAATTTATCAGTACCTTAGTTCAAAATGATTTTGGTGATAACTGAAGTTAAAGCATAATTCATTTTGTTCAAAATAGTTTTTGTTTAATATTTTCCTGTCAGTGTATCAGTCAGTGCACTAAAATGTTATTTCATTTATTAAATACTGCGTTATACTGTGTTGGCACCGAAAGGAGACTGTCTTTTTCAATGCAAAAGGTGTGCATATGTATGTGTGTATCTTTCTTCGGTCAAGTAAATGGCACAGCACTTATAAACGTTTATAAATAAGTACATAGTGAATATATGTATGTTATATAGATTTATATCTGATGACCTACATTTTCTTTGGCTGCGTAAAGAATGGGACATATTTCATTCATACTAATTACTTATCTTTCATTTATGGATCGAAAAGGTTAGAGTGAATGCAGTATTTCTTGTTTTACACTATCTGGGCCAAAATGATTTTCTTTTTACTTTTTGCTCATAAAAGATGCACCCCACTTATGTTCATTTGTAGGCTTTAGGTGGGTGTAATCCTTTGGAGGCGAAAATATGACTCATTGATCTACTTAGTCAGTCGACTTTCCAACCAATGAGTCACACGTACGAGCCCTGTTATACTTACTCATGTTTCGTCAGCCAGATAGTATTAACTGTCCTTGCACAACAGATATGACATGCAAAAATGCCTTATCTCTTCTTCGAAGGTGTACTGCCACCATGTTCTGATTTTAAAACGTGTCAGAAACTTCACTCAACTAATGATTCTTTGGTTGAGTCATACTTCAAAAGCAACCAAAACATATCCGACACAATCTATTGACTGTCTTATTGATGATTATATCGGGCGACAGGCGTGCATATCTGTTGACTCTCCAGAAGTATATATTTACGTGAAGCGAACACCAACTGAAGATTTTGGTAGATAGTTGCGTTATATTACGAACTGACAGATATAGGAAACTTTGGACCATTGAACTGTGTCCCGTTGACTAGATGGTTAGCGCGTTCACCGCGACACCTGAAGGTTCTGAGTTCGATCACTGGTGAGGTCGGGTGTGCGTACTCGGACGAAACAACTATCCAGTGCTCCCAGGTTTTCAATAGATCTCCAACTGATGTCAATCCGTGGTGAATACTATATATATATATATATATATATATATATATATATATATATATATATATATATATATATATATATACATATATATATATATATATATATATATATATATGTCTGCACCATCTTGTAGACGAAGAAGGTCGAGTAACTAAAAGGCATGATTTGTAATGTCTACAGGCGGCCAGTTAACAAATCACTATTAAAAACATTAAAATAATTCAGCGATCCTCAGAGAAGAATATACCGAGTTACAATGAGCGTAACTGTAGCCAATGGAAATAAGGTGGGATGGTTCTGAAGTCTGAACTTATATTGTTTTCTAGTGAAGTAGTGAAAACTCAAAGAAGATGAAACTACTGCAAAAAAAATATGAAACGGAACAATCAATGGTATCATCAAACATGTGTGATTAAATTTAACTCATCGTGATATCAAATGATGGTTAGCCTTTCGACTGGTGACTTTACCTTCATGTTAAAACAGTTTCCCTATGAGAATTGATGTTAGTTGTAGAGCTGGGAACACTTGACAAGTATTTCGTTTACTTACTGAGTTTCTTCAGCCTTCAAGCAGTTTACATTTCTCAAGTGAATGACATTTTGCGAATTTTTTCTTATGCACGTTAATCTTTATGTAGTCACCATAGAAATGCCGTGAATATATAATGAATGAAATATGTGTAATTGTAGTAAACGCTTGAAGTGTTCAGTAAACTATTAGTTATACCTGTTTTCTGACAGGTACTACTTTTCATATCATAGAATGCGTAAAAGACTGGTCTAAGGTGTTTATACAGTCTACACTACCGGTTACGTTCTAGAAATTTCTCCAACATAGTGCATTTACATTCTTAGCTTATTTTCCACTGAACACTCATAGAAGTTGTAGACAACACTGGAATATGTTCTAGAGCATTCCAGGCTGTGTAACCATATGAATCAACCTTGGATTGTGTGTATAAAACGAAACCTGAAGTAGGGTTTTATAGTTGTTTTTACTCCTAATTTAGTTATTTGAGGCAATCTGAGAGCTCCAATTGGTCTGTTAGCCATCTACCTTAGTTTTCGGTGCTATATATCAGTTACTTGGCTAGCTTGGTGGAAGTACAAGAAATAGGCTCACTCTACTGAACCACTATTTAAGATGAAAGTGCCTGTAATAACTGTGTTATAGCTTTATGCAGTTTAGTTTCATAGGATGCAGTTTGCTATACCTGAACCGTAAACCAACTAGGACAGTTTCATCACGTGGTTCACTTAAGAGTTGGCAATAGGTAAATAGTATTTTTAGATTCCCATACCTTGCAGCTGATTTGGGGTACTCCATCTAGCCTTCGAAAAGACTTCAACTCGTATCTCTCACTAGTCATCTCTGTAACTATCATCGAATGGCATAAGTTGCAAATATTGGAGGGAAGATTAGCTTTGCCAGAGCTCCTTAAATTTCAGGTGAACTAGTGTTCAAACATAACCCATTTACAAAACTCGAATGCTTTACTGACAGATCAGCTATGAAAGTCAGCTTCTTCAGTAGCCGAAACCTAAATACTTGTAATGTTGCACGAGATTTTATATAGAAAAAGTAGAAACAATTCATTTTCAAAATGATCTTAATCATTTCTGCAGTATCATCGTTACTCTTACAAATAGTATTCGTCACAGATTGTAATCGTCTGATAAACCAATGGAAATCAAAGAGCCCTAGGAACATTCTTATATTTATCGAAACAAACTGCTACTTAAACCACTCATGGTGCTCTGTTGATTTCACCAATCAGATCAGAGAAATTTAAATACCGGACTATCTTTCAGCTCGTTTGAGGCCGAGATCTTCAGCGCTGTACTGCGATAAATTCAGCTCACAAAACCGAATTGTTCAAATCAACTGAATCTAACTAACTGACTTGAATGAACCACAATGAGAAATTTGAAAACATTTACAAATTGCGTTTATATCACTCAAATTGAAGGCTATCTTAAAATTAGTCGATTCACTACAAACTATCCAATAAAAATAAATCCTCATAGGTTATTTTAATGAGAATCTTCAAGAAAGGTGAAATCTAATCCTCTCATATTAGAATTGATCTCTATTTCAGATCTATCATCTTTGAAATCTTGTTCATTCACAGCACTTTCTTCGTTGACTTATCAATTAGGAAAAAGCATTTGCCTACACTTTTTATCCAAGATGAATGGACTTCTGCATCTATTTATATTTTTATACACACATACACACACGATAGTTACATAATAAAATTCTTTTTCCAAACGTGTTTAACAGCTTAACACGTGATTTTCATCACCTTTATTTCCCTACACCGATTTCAACCAAACAGGGTTATTTAATGAAGGTAGATAATTCGAATCTCAATGGGTACAACACCACTCAGTGGGTTGCAAATACATCCAGCCGATGAATCCCAATAAGGACGAAGCACGCCTCCTGGATCCCACTACTTACTGCGAAACAGACTACAACCAGTTCGCCTTATTTTATAAAATGTATGAAATGTGGTGACAAGTACGTAACGTCGGCTTCCTATCAATCGCCCCCAGCTAACTAACACTCATCAAAGTACATCGTGATGGTGAGCCTGCTAGGTTAGTGACCACATTGAAAAATGATTGATAGAATTCGGTCAGCACTCAAGATTAGATAAGAGGGGATCTGTTGCTTTTCATAACCAGTCAATCAACTACAGTAGTAAAGTGCTTCACCTGTGTTCACATACCACGAAATTCTTCATTGGTGGAAGTATAGTTACAGTAGATATAACACAATTAACAGCTGCAAATTAAATTACTCATATTTCAAGCATCCTTCATAAGTTTATTTCCCTACAGACAAACAGAATTACTGGCGTCGATGACCATGACCTAAGTGTATCAAGTAAATAGATTGATCGAACTACTGTAAGTCAAAGAATTAGGTGAATAAAGGTTGAATAAACAAGTTTATTAACCTGTATCAACCGCAGAACTAAACGATGTCGTCCACCCTTGAAACCATCATTTTTCCTTTGATTATTTGATCTGGATATGTAGCAGCCTTTGTCATATATTTCGATACTAAGTTTATTTGTGACTGCGAGCAGTTGATGCGAGTTCCATAGGGATAAAATAGGCTAAATTTCTTCAGGTCAGGAGCATTATTCTTACCGTAGACTTGTACTTATTTAACTTACAAAGCAGCTGTATAGAAATAATCTCTGGATAAGTTTTATAGAAGTGCAGAGTGAACTAATTGAAATTCTAGACGTTCACCTATGCCATGTAATGCCACAAAATGATATGAGACGAAAACTTGCTTAGAAATATGTAGTACTAGGAAGTTGCTTGGGTTTATTTCGAAACTATTTAGGATACACTAGCGATCTCTTACAAGATCAACCTCCATCATTACAGATTTCATGACAAACCAACACTTTAAAACTAAACAGTTGGCTTCTCTCAGTGCAAGTGGTAAGTGTTAGGAATAGCCTAAAGATTTCAAGTTCAATCTTGCATCAGATCGAAAATCTGCTTCTCTCGAAACAGTTCTCCAGTGCCTCACAGCATTTATTACCTTTCTATATGGTATAACCTGTTGAAAAAATTTTCTTTGAACTGGTCGATACCATAAAATCTGTCTTCGTAAGTTAGAGAAATTCATCCCTACAATTAATCAGTTATAATTTATTACCAAGCTGTGAGTGACAAATCATATAACATATTAACACCAAATTTTTTCTCTGAATAAGTAGTTGGATATTATTAAATTATATTTTTCCATTTAGTACTTTTATTGACAAAAGCTGATTATCGTAACTCACACTGCCATCAGGTGGTTTTGTAGCGTTTACTGCGGTGCAACACACATGAACAAGCCATACAGAAAATACAAATCTTGCCTATATTGTATAAATTCATTTTCTACATACTTGTACTATCTTCTACATCTACTGTTGACATCATCCGTACTGCATATGGGTTTAAACAGGTATAATTCCTAACTGGGGGTGAAATTCTTTGGTAAAAATATTAACTATTCTGTTGATTTACCGATCATCAGCTTCTACAATCTATTCCTTAGAAAAAATGTAAGTTGTTTTTTGTTTTCAAAGTTTAGTCTCCATGTTAGTCTCGTGCTATAGGATGGAGAATATTTCTTGGGTGTGTAGCATCTTCTGACTATGCCCAAATTTTATGGTCTAACCGCTAAATTATATCTAAGTAGCCATCTTAGTTTTAGTAAATTTTTCCATGTCTTCACAAAAATGTGATCGGTGACATGACATTCAAACCGCCACTGTTGAACTGTGACTTTGATTAAAAGATTCTCGAGAAGGCCATTGCTTCTGCTATTCAACATGATTCAAAAGTGTATTCTTAAAATGCTTTTTTCGCTTAATTTAAATTCAAAAAAGTCTTGATCACTGATTGATACCAGTTGGAGAAATATTGAAAGCCTGAAAATACTAGACAGCTATTGTCATTGATTATGACTTCTCAGTAGTCAATACCTGCCAATTTTGATAATGAGCATCTTATCATTCAGCCGCTAAACTGTAGTTTAATAGGTCAAAATTTCCAGCTACTGTCAGTTCTCGATATAACGCGGCCATCATCCAGTTTCATCAGAGACTAATTGTCCTCACTCTCAACTTAGTTGGTCTTGGAGGTTATGGCTTTCCCTTAGAATTCTGACCAAGTCTTTATCATTGACTGAAATCAACTGGAGAACCACTGGAAACCTTGAAGCATCAGACCAGCTACCTCGTCTTAGTTTAAATTATCATTTTGACTATCTGAGATACCCGTGGTTTGGAAGGCTAGTATTGATACTGGGTGATGAGTGAAGGTGAGATGAAAATTTGGACCGCAGCTGGACTCGAACCGGCAACCACGGAGTTCCCGGTCCGATGCCCTACCAACTGAGCTACGAGGTCAGCAGGTGGACGTAACTAACTACAACATGAAGAATCTATTTCATAGAAAGAAGTGATTTGATTCATTCTCTACCTCTACCTTTAAATATATAATAAGAAAAACAATTATTGATGATGTTACTTTGTGATCTAGTCTTGTTTGGTAAACCAGTGTCGTTATTCGTCGATGACAATCGAAGTTAATAAAATACCTTGATGGCCTCCTATGTGACAACTGGCCAGGTATTATACCGACTGAACTGTTGGACCCCAACCCGTAACCTGATTTCAATATCACGGTAACTTTCATTCATACGAGAACCATATAAGGCTGAATGAGAGTTTTGTTCGTAAGCCAGTAAAATTTGATTATTTATAGACGTTGGTATACCGACTGGATGGGTGATGACCTTTTCAAAGCCTTATATGTTCCACTTCCTGTTTTAACAAAACTTGAATACTTGAGGTATTAGAAATGTATAGCTTAGAGAGGTGATCTTGCATTCAATACTGTAAGATGAGTGTATTTTACCTCATATTAATACATCACTTCAAACTAATTATTTTCATCGTTGACTACCATAGGAGCTGTTAATAACAGAAGGTGAGGATTTGGGGGGTGTATTCAATGCAATGGATGGTACATTACAGTGTCGTTTTAGACGACGTGTACGACCATTGGACACAGTTCATCAACTTATGGATTTAACATCACCCAATGCCTATCATTTGATTGTTACCCGAGGTGATGAGCGTAAAAAAGATGGATTTGGTCGTCCGTTTGCCGGCGGAGAATCGATTTCTCAACGTTCAGTTGTAATCACTTCGTGAGTTAGAACACTTATTGTCTCTTTATCTTTTCTAATTTTTAAAATATACCAAGTTTCTATAATTTTATGATAGTTTTTATGCTAAGAGAGAAATACAATCATTCACTCATTGTGTCTCGCGGCTGACATTTTTATAATTTTTGACTATTCCCTATCTAGTGGAAGATAGTTCATAGTTACGCTATATAGGTCATAACTTCTGTATGTATGTGTAAACTTATTCATCATAAAAAAAGGAATTGTGTATTCACTCGATCAGCTTGGGCAGCTGTTCTTAATTCTGATGTTCATTCGGTTGGACTGTGGAGGCCAGTTATCATTCGAATTCAATGGGTCAATATTTATCAAGTTGTAAGCGAAGCAATTCATCCAATGTTTTATTCAACTAAATATTGTCGTTTATAAAGAGTCACATACACAACTTCCTGGAACATTCATCTCTACGTGCTTTTGACGTTTAAATGTTGTACGATAATTCACTTTTTTCAATATTAGGTAAGTAAATAGCACATTTCATTTTAAAGTATCTTTTAAGGTTGTTCACACAACAAGAATAGGTCACATATGTATAACATCTGTAACCGTATTAGTCAATGATAGGAGAATTTCGTCTGCGATAGGAATTAGCACTGTTAATCAGTGTTAAAAATACTGATCCTATTATTAGAATCAGCTTCTTGTCAGGCACGTGTAATAGTTCAACATCAAACTGTTGTTAACTATTGTAATGATAGTTGTAATTTCTCGTTACAAGTACCCCCAGTGGCTTAGTGGCTAACGCTCTGGCGTTTAATGCGAAGGGTCACTCATTGGGGTGCAGATGCACCCAGCTGACGAGTCCCAAACAGGGCGAAATGCACCTCCTGGATTCCTCTGCTAGTTACCAAGATCAATGTTGCTCACTATATTAAGATGTTATTCAAACTCAGCTAATTCTAGGTACGAGAAGATTTAGGGGTTACCCTTCTTATTTTGACGTGGATATATAAAGGCGTATAAACACTAAGATATATGCATTTAAATAAAACTTTCCATTCTCAGTCTCTATGTCATTTATATTCAGCTAAGGCTAAATGACTTTCTTTTGCGAATCGATCTCACGCTGATTTTAACTCACTTGAGTACCGTTGCGATAGACTACTTTGTTCTACCGGAATTTCTTCAGGAGAAAATCATAAATACCTACCAGGTTTACAAATTGAGCACATTACATTATATCTAAGACACAACTTATTGACGAATTATTATTTGGGTAAACAAAACTCTTATGCCAACACTACTACAATCACAGCACGAACCCATTTACTCAGATCTAATATAAGCACGAATGGAAAAATCAACACAAAACGTAACTAACTAAAGTTGGATAAATTGATAATATTTGTTTGATATCGAAACAATCTCATTTAAACACAGGAAAACACATGAATGCAGAGAAGAAACATTTTTCTTTTCGATGAAATCATTCTCTTAACCATACAGCCGTGAACAGAGTAGTTCCTGGTCATACGTCAATATAAATTGCATTACAAAGGAGAGTTGCATAATAGGGAAATAAACGAAATGATTACAAAATAAAAAAGATAGTCACGTCACATGTTGGTTATTTAGAGTGTTCGATAACCTACGATGACCATGACAAAGAAAAAGGTTTTACGTACTTCTGTTGAATGCATAATAAGGGTTTCAATTTTTGAATCACTAAGGCTTCGGCTATGCCCAGATGTCTTAGTCTCGCTCCTTTTGAGTGACTTGGTCTCACTTTCTACAGGATTTTAAAGGGCTTATCAAAAGGAGGCAAATGTACTGAGTTTACTAAGTGTTCTGTTACATAGTTAAGGATGCATTTCTGTTCTCCCCTTGTCAGCCAAGTTGGACAGTGTTTGCCGGTGTGTTGCATAAGCTGGTGCATGGTGTGCCCGATTTACTCGACTCCAAAGGAGCAAGTAAACGGATATACACACATTGATGTAGCCCATTGGTCCAGCTTATCCTTTGCGTGCTGACAGATGAGCGTCTGACAGGAGAATTCGGTTCTAAGATTGGCGGCAAAGAAGGTTCTGTTTGTGGATCTTGATGGCCTCTTTCTAAGTACATCTGCCGCATTATCTCCTTTGAATTCTAGGTTCAGTAGTGAAATCTTTTCCGGAGCAGTATCCACGCGTACTGTGGCGTTTTTCAGGTTTAAACTCTAATCTACAAATTTCAGTGGGTATCCATTTTTCATCAGGATTTCTCACGCCATGCCATCTATCTGTCTGTAGATGTAACCATTTTTATTTTGTATTCATTTTGTTTATCTCCCCCCTATCTAACTGTCCTTTGCGATGCACTTTATGCTGACCTTTGACCAGGAATTACTCTAGAATGTTCTGTTCTTTTTATTATTTATTCACAAACGTACAGCTAAGAGAATGATTTCGTCGGAAGGAAAAAATTGTTTAATAGTTGTAAACAGTAGCACACTATGTGAAGTTCACAAAGGACCCATCTGCCAACAGAGGTATAACAATTCGACCCTGTATAGCAATGGGAAATTACAAGTATCAGTAAAAATTCACTTTTGTTGATATGGTTTTTTGTCTTGTCGCCTGTTATTCACGGTAACTTGAATAAAGGTACTTTTATTCCCCTTTTTTCGCAAATGAATCGTCTGGTGGATCGAAACTAGCTTTAGATTTTCCCAGTCTTCAGAGTTAGTCAGCGAGTTATTAATCGTAGCAGTAAGAAAGTATCAAAATCAGGCCAACCACTTTATAAACTTTAGGTTGTGATGATCACTACTCATAAGAATGTATATCAGTAGTATATAGCTCCGCACTAAGGAATACGAGCACTGATAGCTATCGACTAGTTCCGATTCGGGAGAGGAGAATGCACAACTTTCAGCAGAAATGTAAAGCGCAAGATCAGTACTTACTGGAATACCGAACGCGAGAATGTAATTGCCGACTGCAAATTCCCAATAAACAATCTCCTATGCTTCTCTTCTAAATTAATGACAGAAATTTTATGATAGACTTGTGGATGTCTATTATCTTTGCTTGAATATTAGAAATCCATTTGTTGTCTTGAATTGTAAGGATTTTTGTTATCTGTACGAATTTGTTCACTAACTCAAATTCACACATCTGGATAGCTCATTGATAATAACGATATAAGTTAAACCAGGATTAGGCGCACTCATGGTAAACTTCAACAAACATTTTAATCTTGATTTAAAATTTTCTGTGATTAGTTCATAAACCATAGCATAGTCATGTCCATCACTCAACAACTACTTTCGCCAATGAAACCCTTCCGGCACCTGAATAGATCCTTATATCTGCTTGTGAACTTTAATTCTATTTAGTATCTTTTTTTCTCTTTTTTTCCTTTGCTATTGTTTACGTCTTTTAGACCTATCTATGGAAGTATGACTGGTGTAGCTGGTCGTGGATCTTCAATAGCCAAAACTCACGGTTGTCTAATGGTATTAGCCTGGGTATTGTGTGCTAGCATTGGCACTATATTAGCACGTTATTATAAAGATGTATGGCCTAATTCTGGCCTATTGGGTGAACGTGTTTGGTTTCAATCACATCGGATATTACAAGGCATTTGTGTTGGCCTGATGTGTATCAGTATAATACTGATTTTCATCTATTGTGAAGGCTATTCACAAGCCACTGCATACCCGTACTATATACATCCAATTCTTGGTTTAATCGTTTTCTCATTGGCGTTGATTAATGTAAGTCTGCCACTGACTGGTATTCATTTTTTTTATTTACACTGTCAACTAACTAACAAATTGTATTTACAGAGGATAATGAAGCTCACAGTAACTCGCGATCAAGTAGTATGCATTGATTGTATGTCTAGATGCAATATGCTTTTACCCCTACAATAACTCTTGACTAATGCATTAAATCTAAACCGTAAGCATTTCATTAAAACTCTCCCCACCAAGTTTATACTACCAGTCCAAACACCAATGGGGTCTTAGTTTGAGGTTGAATCACCACACTAGACAGTGAAACATGAACAAGGTGCATATATCTCTTCATATTGATGACTTAATCAAGTTTATCTACTTCTGTCTTGTAGTAATGATACTTGTAATTTCCTGTTGCTATACGATGTCGAACTGCTCGACCTCTGTTGGCAGATGGGCTCTTGTGTGGAGGCCTTGATACTGCTGGATATGGATATTCATGTTATGTTGATATCCACTGCAAAAGAGGTGACTATTTTGCTCCAGTGGCTTAGTGGGTAACGCTCTGGCGTTTAAAACGAACGGTACTGGGTTCGAGCCTCGGTTGGGAAAACATCACTTACTGGGGTTCGGATACATCCAGCTGACGAGTCCCAAACAAGACGAAACGTGCGTTCGAGATTCCTCTACTAGTAACCAAGATCAATACTTTTATCTTGCTTTGAAGCATTTCATCCATGTGTGTAACGGTGATCCTGAGTGGTGTACATTCTAATCTCTGATAGAATGAGTGCAAGTTTCCTGCATGTTTTGGATACATTTCACGAATAAGTATCTACAAGTTAGCAACTTGTTTTTAGTAATACCCTTGGTCGGTAGAAATCGGTTAGCATATTGAACAAGACCCTGACATTGGCTTATTTTAGTGAAGTAAAAGTTAAACAGCAGTCATATGTAGACTAATTTCTTGTTATACATAATTTCATTGAAAAATTCCATGTTATAAACTCTTATTTATTCATGAAAGCTTCATTCTTGTTTCTATGCTGCATGCCTTTACTTCAGCAAGCGAATGCTCTTCTAAGTTTAGGTGCGTAAAGATGTGTGCATTTGTGAAATTTCATGTGCCCGTATTACATTTCTGAAATCAGGTAAAATGTAATCAGTAGATAAGCATAAATCAGCCGAAACAGATTCTATGCTTCTTTCTTCTTGATGTTTTCAAGCATTAGTGGTTGTTTGTTATATATGCCTCATCGCATATGTATTATTGGAAATAATTGATATTTTCCGGTGTTGATATGCATTCCTAAATCCTTCAGTTTTTAATGCCGCATGGGCTCCTTATGAAAACACTTCGATATTACCTGTAACTAGGTCTTGGTTATGATCTTGGTAATGTCTCTCATTACAATGAAAGATGTGCGTTTCACCCTGCTTGGGGTCACTTCTGTTTGAATTGCTTGAATCCCAGTAAGTGTTGGTGTTCCTATTCAGATTCGAACATGATGAGCGATTTTTTGGTGTTTAAGGCGACGGCTGCTTGGCTTGAGTCCCAGCGGGGTAATCAACAACCAGTGGAATGCAGATACATCCGACTGATAAGTCCTAAATAGTACAAAACACGCCTTCTTGATTCTACTACCATATATGTTACTGTCACCGTTCTTCTCTCTGTAGTGATAATCTTCTTGATGTGTCTGTCACTAGTGGGTTAAAGTCATTACATTACTGTTGTTTGATTCCTGTTATTTCCCATTCCTTTACAGGGTCAAACCGCTCGACTTCTGTTGACAGATGGGCTCCTATGTGAATGCCTTGATACTGCCGGATATTCACGATGTTGTATTCGTCTTGGTGACTAACAGTGGAATCCAGGAAGCGGGTTTCGTCCTGCTTGGGACTCGTCAGCTGGATGTACCTACACCCCAGTGAGTGATGTTCCCTATAAGACCCTGACAGGAGTTGAGCAATCTGACCCTGTATAGCAATGGGGAACTGCAAGTTTCAGACAACAACTGATACCCTTTACACAAGAGGCGGCTTCCGTACACCAATGGTCTAGTGGATGACACCCTGACATTTGAAGCGATGGGTACTGAGTTCAAGCCCCAGTGGGGACAACATCACCCACTGGGATGTAAGTACGTCCGGCTGATGAGTCCGTCTATTTGCTTTACACTGCTGTTGAACTTAAGTCAGTCATTGGTAGGATTACATAAAATCAGGTTTCTACTGTGTGGATGCTTTCAGCAGTTAGAGGATAGAATATACACGAAATCTCATACATCTGTTTATACCACTGAATTAGTTGAAAAAAGAACGCGTACTACCTAATTTAGCTACTTCATTTCTAGTCTCAGTTGCTATTTCAAACGAGGAAGGTGTAATTGAACAGTTTTATAATTAAGGTCAAACTCTTCTTCTGAACATATCCCTTTCTAAATATTCATGGGTGTTACGGTGTTAGGAACCTCAGTTAATTGGCACACCTAATATGTCAGCTGATAGAGCATCCATAGAATAGCAATCTGTAGGTCAGTTAGGTGGAATTCGGTCACATTGTAGTACCTGGTAGGGAGAATTTCTATTTATTATCTAATTTGTAATTATGTTTCTTTCTGACTGTTTTCTTATTCGTGTTCAGCCATTTATCGCACTGTGCCGATGTAATCCAGCTCATGAATATAGGCCATGGTATAATTGGATACACTTTTTCATCGGTACATTCGCCTATGTTCTGTCGGTGCCAACAATGATGCTAGGTTTACGTATGCCTGCTGCTGGATTACAATTACAATTTATTAATTATCCTTTATGGATTTTAATATTCTTCGTGATATTCCAGTTCACTATTGAAATTGTTCTGGAAATTCATGGATGCCTATATTATCGTCGAAATAAGAGTAAGATTATCATCTGTCAGTTCTCTTCACTTTTTTTATACTAAATGCACGCGAACGTCTATGCATATATATATATATATATATATATATATATATATATATATATATATATATATATATATATATATATATATATAGACTGAATAGCGTGCAGAGCACCAGTGGTACGTTGCTAGACTATCCCGGTACACTTCACCTTGTTTGTTTTCAAATTTTATTCTCAGCGAGACACAGTGATAGCCTTCACCTGGATTTATTCAAGGGTTTAAAGATAAGATGTTGACTTGAAGAATATGGTATTCTGAAGTAAATCATAATATTTACTGTGTGTTAGGTTTGTTCAAGTTATAGATGGATTAACGCAGCTATAGCTCATTGGAGAATTTCGAAACCGGCATAATCTATGAAGGTTGTTGTAGACATGTAGTCCCATCATCAGCTTTACAGCTAGCTGAACTGACATAAATATGATCGATCAGTTCAATTGTTAACAATCATCAAATGCAATAGTTGAAGAGTCAGAGGAAGTATTTCAACCTCTTGATGTGAAGACAAGTATTCAAATAGTTATAATTCACTTTACCTCGAACATATTTTTCACAACTAACCTACAGAAGTTTAGTATTCATTAGAAATTGTGGAAGGTTGAAAAGGTGTTATTATCATCTTTTGTGAACCTTTGAATTAATCCGTACTGTGGATGAATTCGATGGTCGTATATAGAAAATTTAAATGTAATAAACAGATATTCTAAGTATGAATCTAACCATAGCTTTCCACTGAAATTAAGAAGTTTCCTTCCTTTCTACGCCAATCGAGTGGCAAATTGACTTATATTAGCGACGTTTTCTGGAGGTTAATTAGTAGGTAACCTCAATCTATGAAGTAAACATAGGTGAAAGAGTGAAAACAGTTTCATTAGTATTACAGAAGCTGTCAAGGTTGAAACAACGAATTTTGAAAGGTGAGGAAGTGTTGGATGCTTGAAATGTACTAACCTATCGGTAATCTATTTTCTACTAGCTCTAAATACCCTCAGCAGAGATAAATAATGAAAACTGCTGTGAATTAGCATTCTAAGACACAACAGATTAACACTGTCTATTTGGTGAGGATTTTCGAAAACTTAATAGTCATATGAACTATCGATGAAAGATTTTTAGAAAGCAGTTTAATTGCTTGTCTACCAGATCAACTTTGATAAGGTTCCATGTACTTCAGCCTGTTACTTATCTCAACAGTTGATGATAACATTTAATTGTCTTGATTAGGTGGTCCGCGATCAAAGGCACGTCAGTATAGCAAAACAATTATATGACATAATCATCGTTCACTTGTCAGAAACATCAGTGCAATATATTATATATATATATATATATATATATATATATATATATATATATATATATGAACTTCTTTACTTGGGGCGTTATTGGTTTTTTCCAGTTACCTACCTTGTGATTCTGTGGTAGATATTCATATTTCTTTGTATCTTTACATAATTTGCTTTAATCGTGAAGACTAAGGTTTCTTGTTCAGCTACAAATCTACTTAAAAAGAGAAAGTATTTCACCTTGATTAATTGCATGAAATTGTAAATTTTGATCAATTCAGTACAAAGCCTAGTACAATTGATCTTTTATAAAGTGAGTGGAATTCACAATAAAGGTCATGAAAATAAGATGCTATTCACCACTTATTAGCCAGTGAATCATAGTTAGTATGTCAGGGTTTAGTAAAATACTTTAATGAGCAAAGCATATTAGGTGCCGTGAGATTGAAATGCGCGCTCAAACGAATAAATGTTCAATGTTAGAGTTTTTCATAGCTATATTATATATTAATCAGTTGAAATACGTAAAGGAAAGTTTACACTTATGTCCTCATTTATCCCATCTATTTTTGTATGGTTAGAAACTTGCAAGAGAGATACAGTGTAGATAGATGATGCAAGTTACCTTATCAACAGTTTACTTCTACTGTTATCTTAGTCCAGCTGAACGTGTACAAAAATCTTGAATGAGAAGAGAAGATTGTACTTCTAAACAGTGATAGGTTTCTGTACTAATAATGGTAATAATAATCGCTTCATTTCAAACAGTATGTTTGACACCCCCAAAACAATATTTTCAAACAAATGGTTATTGCATTTGAATGATGTTTATAATAATAGCATTAAGTGCAATAATGTGAGGCGGTCGGTTTATATTAGATTAGCTTCTGATGTTTAATGGTGGTGGTTCATTCAGCCAGTAGGAGTATGTGCTATTTGAGGACTAGAAATATGATGTGCTTTTGTGCATTCAAAAGTCTTTTCATTTGACAGGATATTTTTCCTTCGTTTTGTTAATTCGAAAAATGGCTAGTTCAAAACATTTAAAAAAATTGCAAGAGTACGATACGTTTGGATTACATGTTTAAAAGATTAAAACAAGTGAAAGGGATGAATTCGCTATATTATGTCCGGTGAAAATTTTATTGGTAGCCGAAAGTATAACCACTAAATACTTTCAGATTTCGCCTCGGTGTATCGGCTTTGAAAATAAAGCAGCATATTGTCACACAAATGTGATTTTCCCATTGAATTGACCATTATTTCTCATGATCTTTGCAATGCCTTGTATTGCTGCAACATTATTCGTGAACATCAGGGCTTGAGTCCACAGAGTCCCATTGATTAGAGTGTTTATTTTCGTCTCTTAAACTCTTATATATGTGTCTATGTATTATATTACCCGAAAAATCCCGCTTATCGATGAGACGAAGCGTTGATTTCACTTTTTATTCCATTCAAGATATTCCTTTTTTTCATCCAACTAACATTCAATTTCTAGTTTCTTATTTGCGACAATATATCCACCTATTCTACCTTATAATTATAATTATATCTTGTCTACATAGAATAATTTTTACAATGACTGCGTAGTTACCAAAGTTATAAAAAGCACTACAAACCCTTTTGTACTCAGAATCGCTGACTCGCATACACAGATATACACACGCATCTCAAAGGAGGCGGACTGATTTGTTTTATTGCAGATCTATGAATACAATCCAACGGTTTAATCCTAAATACTGAGAAGAGTTTACACGTAAATAAATGAAATTAGGTTCGTATGGTGTTTTCGGGCGTTGGATGTTTGAAGGGGATATATAAGGTGGTGTGAACTTAGTCTATGTAGTTGTTGATACTCATCAGGAAGTTGGATCTAGAAGGGAGACTGAGGAGACTGTAGTTTTCACTACCCAGCGCTACAAATATATATTTATTGTTTCCATCGTTCAACGGACGAAAGTTTGACTTCCTCTTTGTCTTTAGGGATTGGTAACTGAATTGCCTACTAGAGAGGCTTTAGGAAACTTTTATTGGAACAGGTTATAAAGAATATCGATAGAATTCCGTCAGCGCTCTGGACTAGACAACGTGAAGTTGACTACTCTCCAGTGACTCATCGGTGTATCCACCCCAGTCCTACAGGAAGTCGATAGCAGCCCAAATTGTTCAATTTTAATGTCTCTGACTAAAGCACTGGGTGACGCGGAATCGAACACCACAGGGGACATCTGTCCCCTCGAAGTTACAGACCCGTGTTTCTGACTACTGCTAACAAGCACGAAACCTACTGATTGCCTCCAACCAACTAACATGTATCAAAATGCACCGTGGTCGTGAATTTCCTAGCTTGGTGATCACAATGGAAAGTGATGGATAGAGTTCGATTAGCACTCAAGACTAGATAACATGATATTGGTTACTCTGCACTAACCAATCTTATAGTATTTTAAAGTCTCAGTACTGATGATCTACTTTCCTCTTAAGCTCCTCAATCTATGGATTCAACACATAAACTGATAAAAGTCAAATAGTAATTATTTAAAATTCATTGTAAAGTTAGTATTTTAATGGGTATTGATTATCATATGGAAATTACTGTTGATACTGGTTCTACGCAGTTAATTAGGAACCGGTGACCTCCAGTGACTTTATCGCATTCCTCGAGGACCATTTTGACTGTATAGTTTACAATGTTTAACGAAAATGAAATCCATGTTTTTATCATTAACTGGAGTTATTCCTAGATGGGTGTTTTAACTCATGAATACACAGTGATTTTTTCTATACTAAAAAGATTCATAGGCTAAGTTACACTTGTCGTCGAGTCATAAAGTGAAACGAAAAAATGATTCAGTATACTCTATGTTCATTGGCTATAACAATGAAACCGTCATTCTTAACTATTGAATCAAAGACTGAAGTGTACTGCCCAACTTACTTAGATATATGCAGTTGGTCAGTGTTGTTAGCGAACATATATGGTACCTTATTTTACATACATACATGTGGGCATGTTAAGAAACAATCAATTCTGAGAAAGTTACAAACTATCTGGTGCTCATTAGTGGCTTACTTTGAGATGGAAGCTGTAATGGGAAATCGTGACCTGTGAGATCAACCAAGTTGGGATATGAGGACAAATACATGCTGATGGATGATGCTCCCGCTATATCATGAGTCGACAGAAGTGGGAAAATGTAGACTTTTAGAATCCGTCTGACTCAATGGTAATATACCAGCCGCGAAACTCGATGGCTTCAGGTTCGATTACTGGCACACTCGTGGTTGTACATTGGTGAGAAGTCTCGTACCAGGACGGAACATCTGTTCACTGCTGTTAGATTCGCAGTGGTCCTGCAACTGTTGTATAATACCTTGAAACTAAATATTGAGATGTAACCGTTGAAAATTTAGACCGTGACCGGCGACCACCGGATTTCTAGCCTGATACCCTACCAACTGAACTACGAGGTTCAACTGCTGATCAGATCTTTATTTCATTTCAGTTTGTTAATACTATTATTATACAGTTGAAGTCGATTAAGATAGGTTTTGTGTGAACGTTAATGATAGAATCGATTGTAACTGGAATTTAGTTCAAAATAACTGGTCATCTAAACGATTATACTGTGTAGGTAATGCTATAAAATGATAGTTTAATAAAACAACAGCAAGGTGTTTATGAGAGCTGGATAAAATAAACTAAGAAGGAAAATTTGAGGAATAATAGATTGGTAGAATGCTACTCATACTGGGGGACAAAATATATCAAGAGAATTTGTTAAAATTATTTCAGATTAAAAGGAAAAAGAGGTATCTACAGTATGGAATTAGATTATCTGAGTTAGGATGCTAATGAATTTGCGCATCCCGAATCAGGCCACGGTAGTTGTAACGGGAACATCTGCTTCTTTTGAACACACAACATAGGTTGTTTGTTCGCAGTTGCTACTGCTTCTGTGGTTTGAAGGATCCTAAACTGGGTACCTTTCGGCAAGTTGGTTCATTCATATCCACTCTCTGGTTAGTTTCAACCAAGTGTGCTAATATGGAGCTGGTAAAGATCCTCACCACGCCTTTACTTGACCATACTAGTAGGTGTTTGCGAGCACGAAAACTTAAATTCTCAGAGCAGCAGCCCATGTAACTGACTCTACAGGAGCAGTTAAACTGATAAGCACAATACCAAGTGACCAGTCTAGGCAATTCATCTTTCAATCTCGGTGCTGCTATTGGGCGTGTGGAAAACTAAAAATGTAATTTACCAACAGTAAAAGTCCTCTGAGTTGATCTTTGTAGTTTGGGAAATGATACCTCGCTGAGCACGTCACCTTTAAATTGTACCCGATTGTATAGCGGTTTTTTCCGTTGGAACATCCTTTCTTAGGATTTTGTAATCACCTATTTCTTTATGAATTTATCAGGATAGCCATTTTCGATCAGTGTGTTGTGCAAGGTCACCAGTTCCTCCTCAACTGTATCCTTCGAATATATAGCCGTTATTCTTTATCAACCCATCTTTTCGTCTTGAGAGAAGAGTATCGAGGAAAGCTATCTTGCCTTCTGACTCTTCCTTACATGTAAACTTCATCCCTGGGTTTACTGTGTTGAATCTACTGAGTATCTTTGACTTGTCCATGTTTTTTTCGCACAGGATGAATGTTTTATCCATATATCGACAGTAAACTAATGGTAATCGCTTTATTCCAAACAACATGTGTGATACATTGGCGAATTTTCAGTAGGTAATATTCCAACAAATAAGCTCCCCGTAAAATATTTTTAAAAGAAATAATTTTTTTATCTCAATAGTGTTCATAATCGCAGTAACAAAGTCAGGCGGATAGCGGGTGTTACATTAGCGTCTGATCTAGACTTTGGGATGAATACAAAATCGTGTGTAACTACTGTGTTGGTAGTTCAGTCAGCCAATACAAAAGCCTACAGTTCTATATAGGTATACTAGGAATAGTATTGTGCTGTATTTCTGAGCATTTATATGCCCATATCTATCCGGTTTAACGTTTCCTTTTTGTTTCGTTCTTAGCTTGAGAAACGACAGTTTGAAAACATTTTAAAAAGGTGCGAGATCACATGATACATTTAGAAGACATCTAAAAGATTAAAACAAACAGAAAGGCGAGAATTAGATGAAATATATATTCACTGGAAAATATTTTTTGGTAACCCAATGAAAATTCTCTGATAAGTCGTTCAAGTAAACCATTATCTCACACATCCTTAACAATCTGTTTTAATATATCTCTTGTTGATCTGTAACTGAATTTTAGACAGTGGTCGCGTGGTGAAGTGTTTGATTACTATCTTACTTAGTAGAAATCGATTTCATATTCAATGCGTGTTTGATTTCCGTCATATTCAGTTTTTCTGACAACTAATGAAGTTTGGAAATCGTCTCACAGTGTGTACTACTGCTGATTCAGTGCGTATTGTACTCTCGCTTGTTAGTATGAAAGGAAGTGTTTTCTGTTCTGAAACTCAGTCATTCAGGTTGCTTTTACACTGAACCTCAACGTTTTCAGTCTAGTCGAGTAAAGTGTTAAACATTTTGACCGATATTTCAGGTAGTTGTTCTTAACTCTGAAACGAATTGGTTTTATCAAACTAGGCTGCACATACAAGTCTTAGAATTGGGTATACTCATTTTGAGATCTGGATTAGTACTATTCTTCATTTTATTTCGAAAAGTTTTTACCGAGCTGTTTAACTCTAAGTTTATGTGGACAACTTCAGTTTATCAAGATGCATCATCATTTAGCATGGTGACTTCATTAGATTTTCTATTGACAAATTTTCACTGGGACTTGATATCTTAATTTAGTAAGCACTTATTTGTATAATTGTATAGTGTTTACCCCTTAAACCTTGATGTGCATACGCACAATATATAACATATGATGTTCTGTATCCTTTCATAGATAAACGTCGTACTTACATGGTTGAAATTGATCAATATCAGGCCGCAAAACGTTTGAATAATGCACGTCAACCACGACCCCTGAACCAGAACCTTCTGTAAGTAATCATCATAATGTGGTTTCCTCAAATATTGATAATATTGCAAAACTTATATCACAAGTCGATACCAGCTGTAGTCACAAAAAATCTACTTCTCACGGGATTTAAAGGACTCTAAGTTTGATCCTTTGAGAAAGCAGAGAGAAAAGAAGCAAAATGCATATATACTATCATCTGTCTCTAAGTCATTACTGCACAGATATTGTTTTGCGATGGAAGTAACGTTCAAGTCTTCCATAAACACTGTCCTCTTAATTTATGAGATAAATAACGTTACACGTCTAAATTCATCGGCATATATCGGGTGAATTTTACTAATTCATTATACCGGTCAGATGGAATCAAATGAATAATCATAATTTGAGGTTTAGATGCACATTTCAGAAATGTAGCATAGACTTAGGAATTCCGATGTTATATTGATGAGGCTTGTTGTTTGGTGCGACCCATGAACCATGTTTTGAAAGCTTTACTATGCAGTTGATAGTGTGGCTTATGGTGATTATAAATGGCCTCCATTCGGTTCGAATCGTTAGCACTATTTGCAGATTAACGGGAAGACAATAGAAGGATAATGATGAATGAAACTGACAGTGATCACAGTTGAATCTGTGATTGCAGTAGATGACTTCTGTCTACTCAAATCGTGCGAAGCTGCCATGCTATACGCAGAACGTATTCCAACAACATACCTTTTTGTTGTAAGATAAGTTTACACATCGAATAATCAATTCCGTTATGCTGGAACTCCGTATTATTGTGTTATATTTTCACTGATTGTAAGTAATGTTGCATAAAAGCTGTTAATGAAACTCAAGGTAGTTGAATATCTCTATCGTTTAACATCTAGTTTTCACCAGTTCAGATAGGAACTTGTCAAATGAAAGTATTTTATATCTGGTCTTTTACATCTGTATGAACTTTATGATAGTTTAGAAGGTGAATCACAGTCTGGTGAATGTACCCCCAATTAACCGTTTATATTACAGTATAGGCATACAAGTTATCAGTTGCCGACGGGAATTTACACTTCTCCTCTTGGTCTTATCACCCGTTGTGTTACAACTACATTTTGCTATTCCCAACTTTGAGACCGAAAGTATGAATGAGTTTAATTGGAGATTGGAAGGTTGAATTTAAGCACATAAATCATTTAAAACTTGTTCATACTTTTTAAGCATTCAAGTATATCACTTCAGTCAGCTTTACTATCCAAAATTAGTCGTCTTATCCTATATTAAGAAACTTTGCAATGTTTACCAAAGTTAAATACTTGATAGAGCGAAATTCATGCAAACGGTGAGTGCATGCGAAATAAAGTATCTTGTCAGACGTAATTTTACTACTCATCCCTATGGTTGCTAATCTATGCTAGCATAACCGTATATATTAGGTCGACAGTTATATCAGCCTCAACACCACCAAGTTGAAGTTTTATTTTTTTTACTCTTGAAGTATATTTCAACACTTAACATCTTTTCAAAATGCATATAAACATATAATTTTGTCTTGCTCTACCGTTTTTCACATTTCAGGGTCGTATGTTCAAATATTTCATAATTGGTCTTCACGCTACAGTTTGTGCAATTGTTGCTGTTATCCTAATCATAATCATAGCCGTTAATTAAGATTTTATTTCCTGTTTTACTTTTGAACTACTTTACTATTTCATCAGTAGTCTACGTAGATGCATCAAAAAATATATATGCTTTTTTGAATTGATGTAAATGTGCCTTATTTATTTGTCTTTGCATGCGACTTTTTCCTCTCTGTCTCTCTTTTCTTTTGTTACAGCTCTTAATTGCATATTTTGCATATATATACAACTCTGTAGTACATTTTTGCGCATTGCTAGGTATATAATTTAAACAATATTGTTCTTCGACTCAGATTAATATATTTACCAAAGTTACCTGAAACAATGGTGAGGCTTAGTTCATAATCTCATTACACAAGGCTTTTATCTTATTATCAGACTTCAAATAAAACCTTTAGAAAAGTGACTTTAGTGTACCTGTTTTTCCTCCTATTTACTTTTTTCGAGACTTTATGCATTGATAAAACATTTTACGCCTATAAGCAACACGTGTTACGCATATATCCAACTCAAATATGGATCATATTAATATTTATTTGTTGAGTATAATCATTCGTGTTCATCAATTTATAACCCGTCACCCTATACTGTTATTATTATTACTAATATTACTGCTTACGTGACTTTACACCTGTTTGGGAATAAGCTTGTTCGTGGAAAAATGTCCAGATCATTAATTCTGTTCAAACTCCTGTCGGTCAATTCAGTATATCTTTTTCTCAACTCATTTTACTTCAGTCATATACATTCAAGCCTTTTATTGTTTATTCCTTCGCACGTTGTCTTCCATGCATTGATTTGTTTCAGTCTTTTTTATATTCTAAGCGGTTTTGTTGTTTACGTTTACTTTTGAAATCCTCCTCTTTGCGCTTGTTTACATGTTTTTATCGTTTTGCTTTTTATAATGACCAATTTTAGTATTGAACAAAGGAAGGAAAGATATATCTACTTATCTACCTAACCCAATGGTTTATTTACATATTGGTATGTCTTTGTTAGCTTAAGAAAAGGCAAATATTCAGTCACTTTTGTTATTAAATCTAGGAGGCGAGTTTAGTGGTTTAACTTTTGAGGTTCTTAGTTTGGACATATGTTGGTTTTTCACTGAATCTCAGATGTTACGAACACTCGAGGGCTATTCAGTACACGTTTCTCTTCTACGACAGGCATTAGTCGTTATTTGCTCCGTTCGACTTCCCTGCCTTCAGGTTGCTGTGACGAATTGATCAGCTTTTATCGGTAAATTTATCCCCTGTGCAAATGCTTTAATAGCGTCATGAGTTTTATTGCATATGGCCTAGGAAAGGATAGACAAGTTGTAAACTCCACAGACTTCTATGTATGAAGAAAACTGTCTTCCTCAATAGTGTATCATTATTTTTCTGCAAATGTCTGATATGATCTTAGTAGAAAGGGACAGTAACAAGCAAAGAAAATAGGTTTAGTTCATTGGACACTTCAAATTCACGTTTCGTGCCTGCTGGCGTTTTTTCTGTAAGAAATTTTTATTCTAGTGTTTTGAAATTGAATTGTCTAGCATTATGGCAACTTTTGATCAGTGCTGATAGATAAGGTATTGAAACATTGACATGCAGTGGATGACGTCGATGAACTTCTTCAAATGAATCATCAAAATACTCGATATGGAAATATTCAATAATCTGACTGGAAGTATTGTGGTAAAGAATTGACCAGTTTGAAGACTGCATTCATACTATAGTTATGTTATTGTATATTCTATGACAAAGGTATAGTTGTTCTCTTGTGGTTTAAACGTAATCATAAAATATACAACTAGTTATTTCGATGAAAGCTATCGTCGTTGAACTTCTAACAGACTGAATTTCATGGGGCTTCCTGTTCTTAGTAGGATAAAATAATGATTTAGGCTAAGTGAGAGTTCCACATAGAAAAAATCAATATAGAAGTGCATTAGCTCAAGTTGCCACACTTCATAACAGCATGCAAAGAAAAAGAGTGAAATCAAAGTGGACAGAAGTGCATGAGACGTGAAAAATTCGGAAAGGAAGCTTGGTGAAAATGTTGAAACTTCCAAAGAGCGATTTTCAACCGTTCCCCCAAGAGTCTCCAACCACTGATTCTTATTACCACTAGGATACCTTGATCGGGCAGCTTACGAGATTCAGAAAAGCTGAGTGTGCATTTGAGGAAGATCAGAAATCAAGCTTACTCACTGACTGGTATGCACTCGTTAGTTATTTAGCGACCTATGTTTACACTATACTTCGACTGCTTATTATTTTACACATTCATATTATCGTGTAGTGCATTCCATAGTCGGAAACTGAATGTTCGCTAATTTATTGCGGCTTGGTAACCAGTGAATCGTTCAAGCCTTAAGTGATGATTGAAATCGGTTGATCAGGTATGTTTGGGTGACTCAAAGGCACCCTAACAACTGCCAAAATAACCTATCAGGTTGCGGTGTTTTGGCTGGGAAGACAAATTTTCTTAGAATAGAGAAACGTGATTGGTTGTTTCATCATTAGCTAGGGTGACCTTTAAAGTCACTCGGTATGCTGTTGTCAGTGAACTGAGTGATAGGGATCTGCGATACCCTTTGTTTGGTGCTATGTAACAAGTCAGTTAGCAGATAATCCAACACGTACATGTAGTGTCATGTTATAGGGCTGAATGTCCACACTGGAAACTTCGATTTAAGCGCTCAGCGCTTAGGACTTGGTAGGTACACTGCAGATTTTCTTTTTGTTAGACGCTTTACTACTGTAATATAATTGCGGATATGCCAAGTAGTTGGTCACCTTTACTAACTACTAACGAATCTAAAAATACATGGTATCTATTATATGTCTCATGACATTCATAAGATAGTCAATGAGATGACCTAAATATTCTGAGTACCAGTAAGTCTATTTGTTGCATTAATTATGTGGTTGAGTAAATGTAACGAAGTAACATAACACAGTAGAACGATACTACTTACCACGTACTAGTAGTAGTAGACCTCATGAGAAATGTTCGTATTTCCAAACATCGGTGCACATTGTCTCGTACAATATAGAGTCAGTCAGTAATGACCCTAATAGCTTACTGCTTAAGTCTCTGGTTTCTCAGCTGAGTAACTTCAGTTCGAATCCTCGGAAGAATGATTCTTCTCAAGTGGATATATACATTTTATAGTTGTCTATCTCAACAGATATTAAAGAGAGTTCTGGTAGACTTTGCTGCCGACCGACTTCAGATATCTGACATGAAACCAAATTAGGTTTCTAACTCCATTTAACAGCATAAATATGTACATTGGCTCTGTTCTTTGATAATTGTTCCTTTGCTTCGTGATGTGGTCACACTTAACCATACTACTTGCATTGATTGCGAAATTTATCTCTTTAGGGCCATCTTAGTGCCGACCGATTTTATGAGATCAAAAATTACTTATTGTTCTTTTCATTCAAATGCAAAATCATTATATTGTTCAATAGTACAGGATGGCTTTGACCATGCCTTAGGTAATTAGTGCCAGCAGGGTATGGTTGAATGTTCACCGACTAGTTCATATTGAAGTTCATTTAGTTTCACAACCTTTGGTATTCAAGGTATACTTTTAGAATAAAAACTTATCTAAAAATAAATTTTTGAGTGCTGATCGAATTATGTGGCTCATTTTGTAATGTGACCACCAAGCTAGCAGGCACTTTGATTGATGTTAGTTGGGTGGCGGCATTTGGGAGACAGACGTTGATCTAGGTGTTGTGCTTATTGGCAGTAATCAGCCAGACATGTCTGCAACCTCGATGGAACTGATGAACCCTTTGAAATTTTAAACCAGCATTGCAGTAATCGACCTTACCAATAAGCTGAATGGTTAGTTACGGTTACAACTAAATTAGTTTTACACAATCGTGCTGGAGGCATTAGCTTTAATTTTCAGTAGAAATGCAACATCCTGTCTCATCAAGTACATTCATCTAGCACTATCCAACAGCTTCAAAAAACCGCTATAAATAATTAGGTCTTATTTCCATTTGCTTATCTGAATTCTTTTTGAAATTCATCCAGCTACTTTATAATAAAACAGTATTTGTACTGGGTGATGATTGAAGGTGAGATGAAAATCTGGACCGCGGTCAGATAGTCAAGTCAAAAACAGTGGTTGGCAAGTATTTGTAAATATTCTTGCCCCCTAAACAAATGTATTTATTGTCACTTTGACTATCTGAGATACCCGTGGTTTGGGAGACTAGTATTTATACTGGGTGATGATTGGAGGTGAGATGAAAAGTTAGACCATGACCGGATTCAAACCAGCGACCACTCGGTTTCTGGCCCGATGCTCTACCAACAGTTAGATTTGGATTTAGATGAGAAGTACTCACTAGGCAGCCAGTGTGAATACGACCAAGTGGTTGTAACGCGTCACGAATTCACATGATGGTCGGAGGAAATCGTTGATGATTGAAGTAAAATAAAAGTGTAATCAGCAGTCGAACCTCAGGTTAGTTGGTAGAGCATCGGGCCGGGCTAGTATTCGCTGGTTCGAATCCGGCCGCGGTCCAAATTTTCATTTCACCTTCAACCATCACCCAGTATAAATGTATTTATAGCCAATGAATATGTGTCTCAAGTCAAGCCAAAGACATTTGCAATTTTTGAAGCCTAACATTTCGTATACTATTTCATGCCAGTAGGTAGATGAGATATACCTTATTTATGTAATGTACGGGAAGATAACTAGATATAAAAATCGGTTTTCAGTATCACGGTTGACTGAATTGCTGAAGAGTATGTGTATCTATGTTTTGTCGTTCTATGTAACGTGAGTGAAATGTATTCGATCTCACTGCTGTGTCAAAGTATGCATAGAAAATGATTATATGTAACAGACTGAAATCACTAAGATCCTTCTGTTTTTTAATCATTTCTTTGAAATAAATCCTGTAGGATCCTACCTCGAACCCATAGATGAGAAGGAGATCTAAGATATTTTATTTTCTGTAAATTTGTGGTATTCTCTGAGTTTTAGAGTTTGTTCTTGGATATTTCATAACCATATTGAGATGCTTCATCAGCATTTACTGCACAAAGAAATAAAACATTCCCAAGTTGCATCAACATTACTGATGTTTGATTGAAATACCATGTTTTCAGGAATATTTTGCGGTTTTTGCTGTGGTTTTGCTCATTCGCATTCATAAGTATTAATGATGATGTATCATATCGTTTGACTGCAAGTTGATGGTCATAAATTCTTTGGGCTATCCTACAACTGATGTTGGCAGTTTTCTCAATTAATTTTGATGATTGTATTCATCGCGTTTTCTTTGAGTGATGGATCATTCAGCTTGGATTATATGCTCTACAACGATCTGGCTGGTTTTGTGCCACTCTGATATGAAGTAGGCAAAGTAATCGACTAACGGTTTCTGAGATATCTTTGATACAGAATGAAGTGGTTCCTTTTATGGGTTAAGGTAATTATCTTGATTTCTCTTCTCTTGATTAACACATCTTGATGAAGTCGATTGGATGGTTACTAACTCTTGTTACTTTAAAGAAGTAGATTTTTTACCTTTGTGGTTGTTTAAAGCTGCAGTGATTTTTGGGAGGTGTGAATAGTACAATATGTAGTAAATAGCACGAGTATCTTTGTAAAATCCTGAGTTTTCATTCGAAATGTAATCTGTACCTACTGCCTTCCTGTACACTTGAGTCCGAAAGGTTCTATCATACGTTCGACTGATGAGAACGTCTTTGAATATAATTCCATACTCTGCTGAATCGAATACCTTTGAATATTTGGTTGATAAGGATGAATGAGTTTTTCCAACTCACTTGTTTTGATAATTGCAAATATGCCATAGGCATGGGGAATCCAAATCCTAACTCTGATCACTAGGAAGACAGCTTATTCTGATGTCCACATCACTACCCCAGCGATCAACCTAGATATCCCTGAGCCTAGGGCAGTTCCTTTATTTGTTTATAGATCTATGCATTGCACTTAAAATGTGCTATGAACCAAAAAAATGGAATTACACTCTACCGCAGTTCCCAAGTTTTACACTTATATTAA